CGAGAAAGGGGGCCCCAGCTGGCCAGGGGGCTTCCAGCTGCCGGGATGGGCCAGGGACCGGGTGGGGCTCATTATAACGCAAATGCTCTAATCGCCTTTCTCCCTGATTTATCCGAGTTCTGGAAGCGCTCACTCCGGAGGGAAGAGACCCAGGGTGACACTGGCCAGAGGGACAGGCCGCCGCTGAGAAGGCTGACCCTGGGCCAAGGGTTCGCTGTGCTCTGGACCTGGAGCCTCCCCGCCCCCTTGGGCAAACTGGTCAGAGCCTTTCCTTTAACTTTCTGGACTGGACCGGAAACCAGCCAGGCTGCCCGGAGTCTCGAGTGACATTCTCGGTTGTCTGTTCTTGCCTCCCCCAGCCTCCCCACCCACCCCACTTGCACACTCTCCGCCTGCAGTGCCCTCCCCGGCTCCTCCCCACACCTGGACACCGCACGCACTGTTATTAGCGGTCTTCCCGGAAGCTGCCGGTGAGGCCGAGGCTTCTCCGGCCGGCCAGACCCAGTGTGAACCCTGTACCTGCTGCTCACTGGTCGTGTGGCCCTGAACATCTTGCCTGGCTTCTCTGAGCCTCAGTTTCTTTGTGAGAAAAACAAGACGCTCCTCACGGGGTGCTGTCGAAAGTCACACACTCGAAGCATGTACAGTCCTCACACAGAGGAAGTGCCCGCGGGTAACAGCGAACACGGACAGTCCTTACTACGTGCTGAGCACATGGTATGTGTTCACTTACGTCGCCCTGGCCACACAACTCTGAGACAGGTACACATCACCCCTGCTTTCCAGATAAGGAAACCGAGGCACAGAGGGGTCCGATAACTTGCCCGAGACCCCGCAGCGAGGAGGTGGCAGAACTGAGAGCTGTCCTTACGCCTAGTACCATTCCCCCACGACTTCGTAGGCTGGTTGAGGAAAGAGGCTTTGAAAACTCCTGACTATTTCTGGGATATTGTTAAAAGGTCAAGGCCCTGCAAATTTCAAAAGACATCTTCCATTTCCTAAAACCTCCTCAGAAAAACATTCCCAGCTTCCTCGGGGAAAACAGCAATGGCATCATGGGAAAGGAAACACAAAAAAAAGTAATTTATTTTTTTAAACCAGAGCGCTCGGGCTGACCCAGGCGGAGTCATCTCTTCCCAGCTGTTGGTTAAGGCCCACCACTGGCTTCACTTCTCCCGTCCTCACCTTCCCGGCCCTTCTGGCCGGGGCAGAGCTGAGAACCCGTGTGAGATCTGCAAAACATACAGCCCTGTGTGGGCTAGAACGCCCCGTCCAAACAGAAGGTCTTTTCATTCTTTGCTTTGTTTGCTTTTGTTTTGTTTGTTAATCCTCACCCAAGGATATTTTCCCACTGGTTTTTAGAGAGTGGAAGGCAGAGGGAGAGACGGAGAGAAACATGGAGGTGAGAGAAACACATCGATTGGTTGCCTCCTGCACTCACCCTGACCCGGGGGCCGGGGAACCTGCAACCAAGCTCCGTGCCCTTGACCGGGATGGAACCCGGGACCCTTCAGTCCATGGGCCGCTCTGTCCACGGAGCCGAACTGGCTAGGGCAGGTCTTTTCATTCTTAACCCTTCCCACCCCTCGGCCCCATGGCTGGGAAGGCTTCCCGTCCAGGCCAGGCCTCGGGCTGGGGGTGGAAAAGAGCAGAGGTTTTGAAAGGGAACAGAAAGCGCCCTCCTCAGCAGAGCGCTCCCCACTCCCCATGCGCTGGGCCCTGGCAGCCTGTGCTGGGAGCGGAGCCTCTGGAAGCCCTGTGCCTGCGGGAGGGACGCCGCGGGCTGGTAAACAGCACATGGCACGCTGGGCCTGTGGCAAGCATTCATGCCCCGAATTCTTTGTCCTCGTGAGGAGAGACAGAGGGCTGCTCTGTGCTGCAACGCCCAGAGCCAGGACGCAGGACGCCACTTCCCAAACTCCCCCCCCTACCCCCCCACGGAGCGCGCCAAGGCTGGGCAGGCCCGCATGCCACCCGCCCGCCCGTTAAAGTGTGCTTGCGAAAGAAACTTGCCCAAACTTGGACCTCTTTCTTGAAAACGTGGGTTTGCTTGTTAATTCCAAAGGGAAGCCAGGGCGCTGGTACAGTGGAGAAACTGGCCCGTCTCCTTAGCCCAGGATCCGGAGAAGGGCCCACACCATCCCGTGGTGTTCCTGCCCCCAAAATGCAGCACCTGAGTCTGACCACAAGGAAACGTCGGACACACCCGGCCTGAGAGCCCTCTTCAAACCCACGGGCCCCCGTTGGCGTCCCAAATGACAGCCAAACGCCACAGGGGCCACGACACCTGTCATGTGGGATCGTGGACGTGGCTGAGGCCTAAGGAGGAAAGGCATTGCCCTAAGGAAATGATGGGCCTGTTAGTGAAATTTACGTGGACCTGTAGGTCAATAATAATCCCTCCCGGGTAAGCTTTCCGAATTTGGTCATTGTAAGCTGGTTCTATAAGAGGCGTCCTACCTGCTAACGTGTTCTGGAGTAAAGGGTCATGGTGTCTGCAATTCGCTCTCAAATGATTCGGCAAAAGTAACAATTATAACATCTAGAGCAGCGGTTCTCAACCTGTGGGTCGCGACCCCTTTGGCGGTCGAACGACCCTTTCACAGGGGTCGCCTAAGACCATCCTGCATATCAGATATTTACATGACGATTCATAACAGTAGCAACATTACAGTTATGAAGTAGCAACGAAAATAATTTTATGGTTGGGTCACAACATGAGGAACTGTATTTAAAGGGCCAGAAGGTTGAGAACCAACCCCACGGACTCCCAGGCCGGTGCTGTTTTGGGGGTTCTGTCCTGGGAACCTTGGAGCGTCTTCCAGGCCTTTTGGCTTTTTGCAAAAATCAAGAGGGAGGTTTTTGTTTCCCCAAGAAAATGCTTTTTTAATGCACAGGTGACGTTGGGAGCAGTTCCGGAAACAGGGAACCACAATATTCTCCGCCTCGGCCTCAGGCTGGGCTCCCCGGACCCCTCAGGCCCAGGGCAGCACCCGCTTCCGTGGCCAGCTGTGCCCTGCCCGCTCCCCCGGGGCTGAACTGTCTTCAGCTGGGATCCCAGTCCCTGCAGGGACCCTGACGGACACAGGAATGAGACTGGGTTGATGAAAAATATTTACTACTGCTTGTGAGCACGCGAGGCATTCCAAAATAATTCCCTTTCCCAGGGTCCCCTGAGCCACAGCTTCCCACGCAGGCGCCCCGGCAGGCTGCAGGCCGCTGCCCGCTCCTCTCCAGGCGGCACCCGCCTTCCCACGGGACTGGGGCCTCAGAGTTTAAGACCCCGAAGCGCTGTGGGGGACTAACTTGGCCCATCCCCCTCGGGGGCTGAGAGAGGGCAGGGTGGGTGGCCATGGTGTCAGGAGGAGCAGGAGGGGGAGGGGCGATGAGAGTGGGCGGGCAGCCCGGGGCAAAGAAGCCAGCAGGGGCGGCCGCCACGCGCCTCTGCAGCCCCTGGCGCTCTCCAGGCGCCCTCCGGGAACAGCCCCTGCAGGACACGGAGGCACTGCCTCCATCTGGGCCCGATGTGGGAAAAGGGCAGCTCAAACGCTCCTCCCGTTTGAGTGGCCAGTGGCCTGTTTCCTTTCCCATCTTCCTCACCAGCCCCCGACTGTCCCCGCCAATGAGATCTGGTCTTGGGAGCCAGGGACCCATCCCCGTCCTCACCATCACCACCCCGTAGAAGCATCGTTCCCACGTTCCCAGGGCTCGGAGCATTGGTGGCCCACACCCACCATACCCTTTGGTCTGTGGAGGGTGCTGAGTCCCGGGGGCTAGAGAAATACTAGCTTATATGGCCCCTTCCTCAAGCTTAAAAAAACCACATTTAATTAGTAGATAACTTGGTAGTTCTGCCCAGGGGCTCTCCAGTGTCCCCGTGGGCATCCCTGGCTGTGTACGCAAATGCACCCCACAGTCACCCACGCATCCCACCCTCCCGACTCCAGGGCCACACCCCACAGAGCTGTCAGCTTCAGAACTGAGGGTCAGGGGTTGGGCTTGGGCCTGTGGTTGAGTGACAGAAGCACCCTGGGAGGTGCCAGGCCCATCGGGACAGAAGGCAGCGGTGGAGGCGTGTGCCAGGAGTGTGTGTGTGGCCTCCGGTATGCGTGTGCCCTCACTCGAGTGTGTGTGGAGGGGCTCACGTGCCCTCTCAGACTCCATCCACACCCTCGTTCTCTCCGCGATTAGCATGTGGCTGTGCCATGGGCGCTGCACGTGTAGACGTGGTGCCCTCGCAGCGACAGACGCCCAAACACCCCAAGGGACTCCGGTCCTATGGATACTCTCCCATTCCATGGACGAGGAACCTGAGGTCCGAGGAGGGTGACGTGTCTTGCCCAATTCACAAAAGCAGCCGTGGGTTGACCATCTTGTGAAGAGCAGCAGGAGGATCAGACACCACCCTTGTTACCCAGCTCTTTCCAAAAGGGACAGCCACCCTGGAGCTCCAACCCCGCCAGGGACAGGGCTGTGCTGGCTGAGGGGATGAATGGGCGGAGCTGGCAGACACTGATCTGAAATCCAAGCAAGGGCAGGCCCCACTGCTGTGGGCAGGAACCCGGCAAGCCTTCCCGGAGGATGGGGTGGGGTGGCGGCTGGGATCTGGCCTGAGGGTGACGGGAGAGCTGCCTCCACTGGCGGAGGCTGCAGCTCCCGGGAAGGGGGTGGGAGGGCTTCATCTACTTGCTTTGGTGTCAGAGGGCACTACCCACTGCCCAGCCATGACCAACATGAGGGGCACTTCCTACAAGGTGAGGGGTAGGTCCCGGCTGGGCTGCCAGTGGACCGAGCCTCCCCTGACTTCTCAGCGATGGTGCACCAGCCTCGCCAGGAGCATCAAGACCCAAGAGTTCCGCCCACCACCCGTTACTGACCCAGCGATGCTGCCACCGGGCGGACCCGGACCCGGACCCGGATCCAGATCCCGTGGGCACTGTGGGGGCTGGTGCACAGCCTCCTGGGGCTTCCTCCCCCAACGCAATGCAAAGGCGCAGACATCAGGTTAATAAACAGCTTTATTTGCCTCTGACAGCATCGATTCTCTTACATTCTTAATTAAGTTGCCATTAAAGTGCGGGGGGGGGGGGAAGTTCTTAATCACGGTAACATTTGTTAAAAGAAACCAGAACTAGCATCGGGAACAGGGTGGCCACGAAGAAAACGCTCCCCTCACCATGCCCAGAAGGGAAGCCCCCGCGCTGAGCCGGGCCGGCCCAACTGCACACAGATTCTAACTCCCTCTCACCCTGACACCACGCAGGCGGGACGCCCACCGCGGGGGGGACAGCAATGGTCAGGGTTTCTAAAGAAACACCCACACGCCCCGCCCGCCCACTCCTCTTGGCCATCGTGGGGGGCTTGCTGTTTGAGTGGACCCAATCTTAGGAGAAACGGGGGTCTGGTTCCCTTTACTGCCTTCTACCCCACCCCACCCTCACTAACAAAAACCCGCAAAGTCATTGCAATGAGAAAGTAAGTGGGTTTCCGATGACCCCAACGCTACCCATGTTCAGTAAAAATAAGGATAATAAACACAAAAGCTGGCGTAGTAAACAGGAGTTCTCCGCGTTCAATGCAAAAAAAAATAAAAATAAAAAGAGAAATCTTAAGGCAAATACTGTTGACTCTGCACGCGGCTGGACAGACCTGGGACTCTGAGGCGTCGGGAGCTCCCGGGGCCCGGGCGGCGGGCCGGCCAGCACCTGCCCTGCGAGGCCAGCTCTTGGCCTTGCTGCTGAGCTGCGGGCGTGCTGCTCTCTGAGGTTATATTACAAACACACCCAAGGCTGTCGCGTTTTATACATGTATGTACACAGAGGCCGGCTACTCTTTCTTTGTGGACACCGCCAGCTCCACCTCGGGCAGCTGGATGCCGACCTTCGTCCCGCTGTCATTGCTGGAGGAAGAGGACAGTCGGGACTTCTTAGAGGCCAAGGACACCCCGCTCCCCTGTAACTTGCCTGCCTCGTCATCACTTCCAGTCACCTCATAATGACCTTTGCTCTTTGACCCTAATCCACCAAAGGTACCAAACTTCAGCTTCCCGTGTTTCCCTTTGACCTTTCCGCCTTCCAGCGACACTTCGCCGCCTTCGAACTCCAGAGTCCCGGTCGGCGTGGACGGCGCCGAGAGCTCTCTTTCGTCGCTGAAGGAGTTGGAGCGGTGCCGCGGCTTCTTGCTTTTAAACAAGGAGAACTTGGCTTTGGGCGAAGATGCTTCGGCCTCTACCTCTCCTTCCAAAGAGCCCAGGCTGGCCTTCGAGCTCTTCAGGTCCCCTTTGGACCCCGAGATGGAGGCCTCTGGCGAGCCGGTGACGCCGCCTTTCCCTTTCGGTTTGGAGAAATTGAACTTGGGCATTTTGATTTTGGACTTCTTCAGTTTGACGTCGGACTCTTCCCACTCGCCCTCTCCGGCACCAGCCTGGACGCTGGCCTCGCCTTTGGGGAAGTTGATATCCACCCCCACTTCTCTGCCAACCAGCTCGCGGCCAGAGAAGGCGAACTTGGGGATCTTCATCTTAGGGAATGTTACTTTTCCAGATCTGCTTTCCAAGTGACCTTGCGGCCCGGACACGCTTAGCCCAGGACCCTGGAGTCCAATCTGGCCTCCTTTCCCTCCTCCTTCCACCTTTGGTCCTGAGAAATGAAGTCCACCGGCCAGCGTGGGTGCACCCAGGTCGAGAGCAGAGACCTGGGGGCCTTTCCACTCGACCCCAGAACCTTTGGTGCCCAGATGCCCTTCACCCAGGCTGATGTCTGGGGCGCTGACACCCCCTGAAACATCCACACCTCCTTTGATTTTCGGGCCCTTCAAGCTGACACCAAGCTCGGACTCAGGAGACGCCATAGCAAACGAAGGTCCTTTCACGCTAATGTCAGGAGCGGCCCCGTGGACACCGATTCCCGAACTTTTCAGGTCGCCTTTGATTTCAGGGCCAGAAACCTGCCCCGTGGGGAGTCTCACCTTCCCCCCCTGCAGCTCCAGACCGCACGCAGGGGCCTTGATGCCAGGCATGTGGAGGTTCCCTTCCAGGCCATGAACACTCACGCCCGGGAGCCCTCCTCCGACGGAGGGCCCGTGCAGCTCCCCCGTGCCCCCGAGCTCCCTCTCACTTTTGGTCCTTCCAAGTTCAAGTCCACGTCCGGTGCCGAGATTTGAGGCCCTTTCACGTTGAGGCCTCCGAGGTTCACGTCCATGCCCGGCCCCTTCAGTTCTCCAGTAACCTGGGGCCCCTTGATGTTAACGTCCAAGTCAGACCCCGGAGTGGAGATGCCAAACTGGGCCAGCTTCATTTGGGGGAGTTTAATGCCACCTTCAGGTGCCTCCCAGCTTAGATCCGGAGCACCTACTGAGACTTTAGGGCACTTGATGTCACCAGAGACACCCAGGTCTCCCTTCACACTTGGTCCTTTCAAGTTCAGGTCGAGGTCAGGTCCAGAGACTTTGGGCATAGAGAGGTTCACGGAAGGCAAGTCTACTCTCGACCCCTTCAGAGACACATCAGGCCCTTCCAGCTTAACCCCCGGCGCACTCAGGTTTCCTTCCAGCGAGGGCAGCTGGGCATGGACCTCCGCTCCCCCGCCCTCCATCTTCACGCCGGGGACGCCGATCTTGGGCATCGAAAACTTGGGGAACTTGATTTTCGCTTCTGGACCTTGCAGATCTACGTCTGGTCCTTCCAGGCCCACGCTGGGGACATCACCCTTTACCTTTGGTCCTTTCAAGCTAACGTTCACATCGGGGACGGAGACTTGAGGGGCAGAAATGCCGAAGGACGGTGCTCTGACTTTAGCATCTGGGCCTTCAATGTGGACGTCAGGTGCCTCCACATTAATCCCTGGCGAGGAAACATCCAGGTCACAGGCCTGGATTTCGCCCTCCATTCTGGGGCTAGGGAGGGAGGCCTCCGCTTTAAATTTAGATGATTTAATGTCAAATTCTACATCAGGGAAGTACATCTTTCCAAACATAGATTTCTTGGTTTTAGGAGATTTCACATCGACTTTAAGTGTGGCATCCGGCCCGGCAACATTCACGTCTACATCAGGAGCCTTGAGACTGGCATCAATTTCGCCGCCAGGAACATTCAAATCAAATCCTTGTTTCTTGGTTTTAATTTTGGGACCACTCATGTGAATCTTGGGCATTTTAAACTTACTTTTCTTGCCCTTGCCACCGACACTAATTTCAGGAGCCTCGACGTTTAGCTCTGCCTCAGGAACAGTCACATCGACCGAGGGTGACTTGAAGTCAGCTTTGGGGCCTTTTGCCCCAAATCCTAACTTGGGTTTCTTAAGTTTGGGAATTTTAACATCTGGCCCCTCAAGGTTGACATCTGGGCTCTCCATGTGTACATCTAAGGTTGGAGCTTCTAGGTCAACTTTAGGCCCCTTAAGGTCCAGTTCACCGCCTTCTAATTTGGGCCCAGAAATTCCTATTTTGGGTGTCTTGAGATGCAAATCAACATCAGGAACAGTTACTTTAGGGGCAGATATATCCAGTGATGGCATCTTCAAATGTGGGCCACTGAGTTTGGCATCAGGGCCTTCAAAATCCAGACCTGGACCTTTCAAGTCTACTTCTGGGCCTTTGAAAGTACCTTCCATCTTAGGGACAGACACATCAAAATCTCCTTTGACTTTGGGTCCCTTCAAATCTAGGTCAACATCAGGCATGGAGATTTTGGGAGCTTTGATATTTATCTCAGGCATCTTAAACTTGGGACCCTTCAGTTTCGCATCTGGCCCTTCAATATTCACATCTGGGACATCAATGTCCATCTTAGGTCCTGAGACACTGATGTCAGCCTTGGGCAGGTTCACATCCACATCTGGGCCCTCTCCTTTGAAGCCTGGCATGCTGAACTTGGGCATTTTCACCTTGGGCATCTTCAGGTGCCAGTCGGGACCATGCATGTCCACATCAGGGACATCGATGTCCACTTTGGGGCCTTTGATGTCAATTCCAGGGCCCTTGAGGTCACCTTCCACCATAGGCAGGGAAACATCCACATCGCCCTTCATTTTGGGGCCCTTCAGGTTCAAGTCAAGGTCAGGCATGGAGATCTTAGGAGCTTTGATGTTCATCTCAGGCATCTTGAACTTGGGACCCTTCAGTTTCGCATCTGGGCCTTCAATATTCACATCTGGAACATCAATGTCCACCTTGGGTCCTGAGACATCAAAGTCAGCCTTGGGCAGGTTCACATCCACATCTGGGCCCTCTCCTTTGAAGCCCGGCATGCTGAACTTGGGCATTTTCACCTTGGGCATCTTCAGGTGCCAGTCGGGACCATGCACGTCCACATCAGGGACATCGATGTCCACTTTGGGGCCTTTGATGTCAAGTTCAGGGCCCTTGAGGTCACCTTCCACTTTGGGCAGAGAAACGTCCACATCGCCCTTTACTTTAGGACCCTTCAGGTTCAGGTCGACTTCAGGCATGGAGATCTTGGGTGCTTTGAGATGCAGGTCAGGCATTTTGAACTTGGGGCCCTTGAGTTTCCCTTCCGGGCCATGAATGTCAATGTCAGGAGTGTCTATGTCCACCTTGGGTCCTGAGACATCAATGTCAGCCTTGGGCAGGTTCACATCCACTTCAGGGCCCTCTCCTTTGAAGCCTGGCATGCTGAACTTGGGCATCTTCACCTTGGGCATCTTCAGGTGCCAGTCTGGGCCATGAACATCCACATCTGGGACATCGATATCCACTTTGGGGCCTTTGATGTCAACGTCAGGGCCTTTTAAGTCACCTTCCACCTTAGGCAGAGAAACATCTACATCACCTTTCACCTTAGGACTTTTCAGATGCAAATCAAAGTCAGGCATGGAGATCTTGGGGGCCTTGATGTTCATCTCTGGCATCTTGAATTTGGGGCCCTTCAGTTTTGCATCCGGACCTTCAATATTGACATCTGGCATTTCAACATCTACTTTGGGTCCTGAGACATCAATGTCAGCCTTGGGCAGGTTCACATCCACTTCTGGGCCTTCTGCTTTGAAGCCAGGCATGCTGAACTTGGGCATTTTCATCTTGGGCATTTTCAGGTGCCAGTCTGGGCCATGAACATCCACATCTGGTGCATTAATGTCCACTTTGGGGCCCTTGATGTCAACTTCAGGGCCTTTCAGATCACCTTCCACCTTAGGCAAGGAAACATCCACATCTCCTTTGACCTTAGGACCTTTCAGATGCAAATCGAAGTCAGGCATGGAGATCTTGGGGGCCTTGATGTTCATCTCAGGCATCTTGAACTTAGGACCTTTCAGCTTTCCCTCAGGTCCCTCAATATTCATGTCAGGGCCTTCCAGGTCCACTTTGGGTGCTGAGACATCGATGTCAGCTTTGGGCAGGTTCACATCCACTTCTGGGCCCTCTCCTTTGAAGCCAGGCATGCTGAATTTGGGCATTTTCACCTTGGGCATCTTCAGGTGCCAGTCTGGGCCATGGACGTCCACATCAGGGGCATTCATGTCCACTTTGGGACCTTTGATGTCAATCTCAGGGCCTTTCAGATCCGCTTCCATCTTGGGAAGAGAAACGTCCATATCACCCTTCACCTTGGGGCCTTTCAGGTTTAAGTCAATGTCAGGCATGGAGAGCTTGGGAGCCTTTAGGTGCATCTCTGGCATCTTGAATTTAGGCCCCTTCAATTTCCCCTCTGGGCCTTCAATGTTAATGTCAGGAGTGTCAATGTCCACTTTGGGGCCCTTGATGTCCACCTCAGGGCCCTTTAGGTCACCTTCCACTTTTGGCAAAGACACGTCTAGATCGCCCTTCATTTTGGGGCCCTTCAGGTTCAGATCAATGTCAGGCATGGAGATGTGGGGAGCTTTGATGTTCATCTCAGGCATCTTGAATTTGGGGCCCTTCAGTTTCGCATCTGGACCTTCGAGACTCACATCGGGAACATCAATGTCGGCCTTGGGCAGGTTTATGTCCACATCTGGGCCCTCTGCTTTGAAGCCCGGCATGCTGAACTTGGGCATTTTCACCTTGGGCATCTTCAGGTGCCAGTCTGGGCCATGAACATCCACATCAGGGACATCGATGTCCACTTTGGGCCCTTTGATGTCAATCCCTGGACCTTTCAGCTCTCCTTCCACTTTGGGAAGAGAAACATCCACATCACCTTTTACCTTGGGACCCTTCAGATTTAAATCAATGTCAGGCATGGAGATCTTGGGAGCTTTAATATTCATGTCAGGCATCTTGAGTCTGGGACCTTTTAAGCCTCCTTCTAGACCTTCCACATTGATTTCTGGGCCCTCAATGTCCACTTTGGGAGCCTCTATGTTGATATCTCCTTTTGGCAGATCCACAGACATATCTGGCCCTTCTGCTTTGAAGCCAGGCACGCCAAACTTGGGCATTTTCATCTTGGGCATTTTCAAATTCCAGTCTGGACCATGAACATCCACATCAGGTGCATCAAGATGGACTTCTGGTGCCTTAATATCCACTTGGGGTCCTTTAAAGTCAGCTTCTACATCAGGGCCTGCCACATTCAAGTCTCCTTTGACTTTAGGACTTTTCAGGTTTAACTCTACATCAGGCATAGAAACTTTAGGGGATGAAATACTCAGGAAAGGCATTTTGAACTTGGAGCCTTTTACTTTTCCTTGGACTTCGACATCAGGAGCGTTGATGTCAACTTTCGGGCCTGTTACATCAATATCTGGCTTTTTAACTTTGACATCCACCTCAGGTGTCTGGACTTTGGAGCCCGAAAAATTAAATTTGGGAAGCTTAAAACGAGATTTCTTTGACTTGCCTTCAATATTGAGCTTAGGACCAGAAATGTCCACTTCTGGGCCCTTTACATCCAACTTGGGAGCTTTAATGTCACCTTCTAATTTGGGCCCAGAAACATCAACCTCTCCCTTAAGCTTTGAACCTTTCAAATTCAGGTCAATTTCTGGCATGGAGATCTTGGGCATGTTTACATGCATGTCAGGCATCTTCACTTTGGGGCCTTTTAGTTTGCCTTCTGGACCATGAATGTCAACAGCCGGAGCATCTAGATCTACCTTCGGGCCCTTGATGTCAAGAGTAGGCCCTTTCAAATCACCTTCTACATTTGGAAGTGAAACATCCACCTCTCCTTTCATTTTAGGGCCTTTAAGATTAAGGTCCAAATCTGGCATGGAGATCTTAGGAGCTTTGATGTTCATCTCTGGCATCTTGAACTTGGGGCCCTTCAGTTTTGCATCTGGACCTTCGATATTCACATCTGGACCTTCAATGTCCACCTTGGGTCCTGAGACATCAAAGTCAGCCTTGGGCAGGTTCACATCCACTTCAGGGCCCTCTCCTTTGAAGCCAGGCATGCTGAACTTGGGCATTTTCACCTTGGGCATCTTCAGGTGCCAATCAGGACCATGAACATCCACATCTGGAACATCAATGTCCACTTTAGGGCCTTTAATATCCACTTCAGGAACTTTAATCTCACCTTCCACTTTTGGTAAAGACACGTCCACATCACCTTTCACTTTGGGGCCTTTCAGGTTCAGATCAATGTCAGGCATGGAGATCTTGGGAGCTTTGATGTTCATCTCAGGCATCTTGAACTTGGGGCCCTTCAGTTTCGCATCTGGGCCTTCAATATTCACATCTGGACCTTCAATGTCCACCTTGGGTCCTGAGACACTGATGTCAGCCTTGGGCAGGTTCACATCCACTTCAGGGCCCTCTCCTTTGAAGCCTGGCATGCTGAACTTGGGCATTTTCACCTTGGGCATCTTCAGGTGCCAGTCTGGGCCGTGAACATCCACGTCTGGGACATCGACGTCCACTTTGGGGCCCTTGATGTCGACTTCAGGGCCTTCAACTTTAGGCAGAGAAACATCAACATCACCCTTTACTTTGGGACCTTTCAGATGCATGTCAAAGTCAGGCATGGAGATCTTGGGGGCCTTGATGTTCATCTCAGGCATCTTGAACTTAGGACCTTTCAACTTTCCTTCTGGCCCTTCAATGTTAACATCAGGGCCCTCAATGTCCACCTTGGGTCCAGTTACATCAATGTCAGCCTTGGGCAGGTTCACATCCACTTCTGGGCCCTCTCCTTTGAAGCCTGGCATGATGAACTTGGGCATTTTCATCTTGGGCATCTTCAGGTGCCAGTCTGGGCCTTGAACATCCACATCTGGAGCATCAATGTCCACTTTGGGGCCCTTGAGGTCACCTTCCACCTTCGGCAGGGAAAGGTCTATGTCTCCTTTGACCTTAGGACCTTTCAAATGTAAATCTACATCAGGCATGGAGATCTTTGGGGCTTTGATGTTCATCTCTGGCATCTTAAATTTAGGCCCCTTGATTTTTCCCTCTGGACCCTCAATGCTCACATCTGGGGCTTCAATGTCAACCTTGGGTCCGGAGACGTCAATGTCAGCCCTGGGCAGGTTCACATCCACTTCTGGGCCCTCTCCTTTGAAGCCTGGCATGCTGAACTTGGGCATTTTCATCTTGGGCATCTTCAGGTGCCAGTCTGGGCCATGAACTTCAGGAGCACTTATGTCTACTTTGGGGCCCTTGACGTTCACATCTGGTACTTTAATTTTACCTTCTACTTCAGGCACAGACACATCGACATCCCCCTTGATTTTCGGTCCTTTCAGATTTAGGTCCACATCAGGCTTAGATATATTTGGGGCTTTGAAATGCATGTCAGGCATCTTGAACTTGGGGCCTTTCAATTTGCCCTCAGGTCCTTCAATGTCGATATCTGGCCCACTGATGTCACCTTTGAGGTCGCCTTCCAATTTGGGAACATCGACATCCACCTCTCCCTTGACCTTGGGGCTTTTTAAGTGTAGATTAATGTCTGGCATGGAGATTTTAGGAGTTTTAAAATGCATGTCTGGCATCTTGAATTTAGGACTTTTCCATTTGCCATCTGGGCCTTCCACAGCTACATCTGGCATGTCAACGTCCAATTTGGGGCCCTTAACATCCAATTCTGGACCCTTTAGCTCTCCTTCCATCTTTGGGGCTGAAACATCCAAGTCTCCTTTAATTTTAGGGCCCTTTAAGTTGAAGTCCACATCAGGCATGGAGATCTTGGGGGCATGGAAGTGCATGTCAGGCATCTTGAACTTGTGCCCTTTCAACTTTGCATCAGGACATTCGAGATCAACGTCAGGCACCTTCACATCCACGCTGGGGCCCTTCAAATCTCCCTCCAATTTCGGCACAGACACATCAACATCGCCTTTGACTTTGGGGCCTTTCAAGTGTAAGTCCACATCAGGCATGGAGATCTTGGGGGCATGGAAATGCATGTCAGGCATCTTGAACTTGGGGCCCTTCAGCTTCCCTTCTGGTACCTCAAGGCTCACGTCTGGGGCTTCAATGTCAACCTTGGGTCCAGAGATGTCGATGTCAGCCTTGGGCAGGTTCACATCCACTTCTGGGCCCTCTCCTTTGAAGCCCGGCATGCTGAACTTGGGCATTTTCATCTTGGGCATCTTCAGGTGCCAGTCTGGTCCATGCACATCCACATCTGGGACGTCAACGTCCACTTTGGGTCCTTTGAGGTCCACATCTGGCACTTTCATTTCACCTTCTATCTTGGGCACTGACACATCCACATCCCCTTTGACTTTGGGGCCTTTCAAGTTGAAGTCCACATCAGGCATGGAGATCTTGGGGGCCTTGAAGTGCATGTCAGGCATCTTGAACTTGTGCCCTTTCAACTTTGCATCAGGACATTCGAGATCAACGTCAGGCACCTCCACATCCACCCTGGGGCCCTTCAAATCTCCCTCCAATTTCGGCACAGACACATCAACATTGCCTTTGACTTTGGGGCCTTTCAAGTGTAAGTCCACATCAGGCATGGAGATCTTGGGAGTCTTGAAGTGCATGTCAGGCATCTTGAACTTGGGGCCCTTCAGCTTCCCTTCTGGTACCTCAAGGCTCACGTCTGGGGCTTCAATGTCAACCTTGGGTCCAGAGATGTCGATGTCAGCCTTGGGCAGGTTCACATCCACTTCTGGGCCCTCTCCTTTGAAGCCCGGCATGCTGAACTTGGGCATCTTCACTTTGGGCATCTTCAGGTGCCAGTCTGGTCCATGCACATCCACATCTGGTGCAGCAATGTCCACTTTGGGCCCTTTGAGGTCCACATCTGGCACTTTCATTTCACCTTCTATCTTGGGCACTGACACATCCACATCCCCTTTGACCTTGGGGCCTTTCAAGTGTAAGTCCACATCAGGCATGGAGATCTTGGGGGCCTTGAAGTGCATGTCTGGCATCTTAAACTTAGGGCCTTTTATCTTTCCTTCAGGACATTCAATATCAATATCTCCAACATCCACATCCACCTTAGGGGCTTTCACGTCTATTTCAGGAACTTTTAAGTCTCCTTCCACTTTAGGAAGGGAAACATCCACATCGGTTTTCAGTTTAGGAGCTTTCAGGTTAAGTCCAACATCAGGCATAGAAATTTTGTGTGTCTGTATATTCATGCTTGGCATCTTGAACTTGGGGCCCTTTAGTTTCCCCTCTGGACCTTCAAGAGTCACATCTGGAGCATTAATGTCCACCTTGGGTCCAGAGACATTAATGTCGGCTTTGGGCAGGTTCACATCCACTTCTGGGCCCTCTCCTTTGAAGCCCGGCATGCTGAACTTGGGCATTTTCACCTTGGGCATCTTCAGGTGCCAGTCTGGGCCATGAACTCCCATGTCTGGTGCATTAATGTCTACTTTGGGCCCTTTAATATTGACATCAGGAGTCTGTATCTCTCCTTCTACTTTTGGGACAGTCACGTCATAATCTACTTTCATTTTAGAACCTTTCAAATGCAAACCAACATCTGGTATTGGTATCTTCTGAGGCTTTATGTTCATTTCTGGCATCTTAAATTTAGGACCTTTTAGTTTTGCATCTGGACCTTCAATGTTCACATCTGGAACTTCAACATCCACCTTGGGTCCTGAGACATCTAAGTCAGCCTTGGGCAGGTTCACATCCACTTCTGGGCCCTCTCCTTTGAAGCCCGGCATGCTGAACTTGGGCATTTTCACCTTGGGCATCTTCAGGTGCCAGTCTGGGCCATGAATATCCACATCTGGAGCACTGATGTCAGCTTTGGGCCCTTTAAGGTTGACATCTGGCACTTTTATTTCACCTTCTACATCAGGCAAAGACACATCCGCATCTCCCTTTAGTTTTGGTCCCTTAAGATTCAAATTCACATCAGGCATGGAGATCTTGGGAGCCTTGAAGTGCATGTCAGGCATCTTAAACTTTGGACCCTTCAGCTTCCCTTCTGGTCCCTCAAGACTCACATCTGGAGCTTCAATGTCAACCTTGGGTCCGGAGATGTCAATGTCAGCCTTGGGCAAGTTCACATCCACTTCTGGGCCCTCTGCTTTGAAACCAGGCATGCTGAACTTGGGCATTTTCATCTTGGGCATCTTCAGGTGCCAGTCTGGTCCATGCACATCCACATCTGGGACGTCAACGTCCACTTTGGGTCCTTTGATGTCAACATCTGGCACTTTCATTTCACCTTCTATCTTGGGCACTGACACATCCACATCCCCTTTGACTTTGGGGCCTTTCAAGTTGAAGTCCACATCAGGCATGGAGATCTTGGGGGCCTTGAAGTGCATGTCAGGCATCTTGAACTTGGGACCCTTCAGCTTCCCTTCTGGTCCCTCAAGGCTCATGTCTGGAGCTTCTATGTCAACTTTGGGTCCAGAGATGTCGATGTCAGCCTTGGGCAGGTTCACATCCACTTCTGGGCCCTCTGCTTTGAAGCCAGGCACGCTGAACTTGGGCATTTTCATCTTGGGCATTTTCAGGCTCCAGTCTCCACCTTGTACTTCCACATCTGGTGCTTTAATGTCTACGCTGGGCCCTTTGAGGTCCACGTCTGGAACTGTCATCTCACCTTCTAGTTTTGGTGCAGACATCTCTAGATTTCCTTTCATTTTGGGTCCTTTAAGATTGAGGTCAACATCTGGCAGAGTCATCTTAGGAGCTTTGAAGTGCATCTCAGGCATCTTAAACTTGGGGCCTTTCAACTTCCCTTCAGGTCCCTCAAGGCTCAGATCTGGAGCACTAACATCGATCTTGGGTGCAGAAAGGTCTACATCAGCCTTGGGCAGGTTCACATCCAATTCTGGACCCTCTCCTTTGAGGCTGGGCATGGTAAATTTGGGCATTTTCATCTTGGGCATCTTGAGGTTCCAATCAGGACCATGAACTTCAACATCTGGGGCACTGACATCTACTTTTGGCCCTTTCAGGTCACCTTCCAGCTTTGGCACTGTAACATCATATTCTCCCTTTACCTTGGGACCTTTCATGTGCAAGTCCACCTCAGGCATGGAGATCTTGGGGGCCTTGATGTTCATCTCAGGCATCTTAAACTTGGGACCCGTCAGCTTCCCTTCAGGTCCTTCAATATTCACATCTGGAATGTCCACATCCACCTTGGGTCCTGAGATGCCAATGTCAGCTTTAGGCAGGTTCACATCCACGTCTGGGCCCTCTGCTTTGAAGCCAGGCATGCTGAACTTGGGCATTTTCATTTTGGGCATCTTCAAGTTCCAGTCTGGGCCTTGAACGTCCACATCTGGAACATCAATGTCCAACTTGGCACTTTTAAGTTCAACATCAGGAACTTTAATCTCACCTTCAGCCTTTGGCACCGTAACATCGTATTCTCCTTTTACACTAGGGCCTTTCAAATGTAAGTCCACATCTGGCATGGAGATCTTCGGGGCCTTGATATTCATCTCGGGCATCTTAAATTTGGGTCCTTTCAATTTTCCTTCTGGTCCCTCAATTCTCACATCTGGAGCAGTCACATCTACCTTGGGCCCGGAAATGTCCACATCAGGCTTGGGCAGGTTCACATCCACATCTGGGCCCTCTGCTTTGAACCCTGGCACACTGAACTTGGGCATTTTCATCTTGGGCATCTTCAGATGCCATTCTGGGCCGTGAACATCCACATCTGGGGCATTAACGTCCATCTGGGGGCCTTTCAGTTCCCCTTCAAGTTTTGGTACCGTTACATCGTACTCTCCTTTCACCTTGGGGCCTTTCACATGCAGATCTACGTCAGGCATGGAGATCTTTGGTGTCTTGACACTCACTTCAGGCAACTTCATATCAGGACCTTTAAGTTTGCCCCCCAGGCCTCCTATGTTGACATCTGGAGCTTCCATGTTGACGCTGGGCCCCGTAATACGGACATCTCCTTTGGGTAGATTTACGTCTATATCTGAGCCTTCTCCTTTGACTCCTGGAGTGCTGAACTTGGGCATTTTCATCTTGGGCATTTTCAGGTTCCATTCCGGGCCATGAAGTTCCACATCCGGGGCGCTGACATCCACTTTGGGGCCTTTGACATCCATCTCGGGGACTTTGACTTTCCCTTCTACTTTGGGGAGGGTGACATCTACACCCCCTTTCACTTTCGGTGCAGCCACATTTAAGTCTACATCTGCCATGGAGATACTGCAGGTTCCCATTTTTCCAGAAGGACCACTCAGCTTCGGTCCTACCAGAGTCCCCTCTAGGCTGGGTGTCTCTATGTCCACTTTGGAGCCTTTAACTGCCACTTGAGGGCCTTTGACATCACCTTGCATTCCCGGAGCGGAAACCTTAATATCTCCTCTCAGCTTGGAGGACCCCAGGCTCAGATCCACATCCTGCATGGAGATTTTAGGTTTCTGAATAATCATTTCAGGAGTCTTGACTTTAGTACCCTTCAGCTTCCCTTCCAGCCCCCCGGTAGCAACCTCGGGCAGGCTGACGCCCCCAGAGACCCCAGGAAGAGTCATGTCACCTGTGGGTAGTGTCACGTCAATTCCAGTTCCCTCTCCCTTAGATCCTGACACAGAGAATTTGGGAGCTTTCATCTTGGGCATATTTAGTTTGCCTCCAGGCCCATGAATATCAACATCAGGGCCTTGACCTTCCACATGGGGGCCGGTGATGGTGCCCTTGATTTGGGGAGCAGAGATGTCCACCCCTATGCTCCCCTGTGGCTTGGCACCTTTCAGGCCTAGGTCTCCCTCAAATGATGGCCCGGTAATTTGGGGGCCCTTCAGTTTCCCCTTAAGCCCCTGAACCGTGGCACAGGGAGCACCGATGGTCATGCCTGGCTGGCCTCCCTTGTGCCCCACAGAGAATTCAGGTGCAGAAACACTCAACCCTGCCTCTGGGGCCTGGTGCTGGGGCCCTGTTGAGACACCAAATTTTGGCATCTTCATGGTGGGAATTTTAATTTTCCCATTATTGTCACTCTCAAGAGATGGGCCCTGAACCTCTACTGCCCCACCGCCAAGAGAAGACGAAATGCCCACTCCTGGAACGTGGATCCCCCCTTTGCCGCCCAAGTCCAAGCCCTTTGCACCGACACTGATGTCTGGGCTTCCCACCTTTATCCCCGGCACGGTGACCTGCAGCTTCGAGTGGCCAGCACCGTGGAGCTCTGGTCCCGAGGTGGCAATGGAGCCTGCTCGAATGTCCACAGCAGAGCCTGTGGCCGGAGACGCTGCCCCCGAGCCCGAGGGCAGCCTGATCACGGTCTTCCCAGACTGGGTCTCCACATCCACAGTGGAGATTTCGGTCAGCTCGTGCCGTGGAATCTTGAACTTGAACTCAGGGCTGCTGATGTCGATGTCCTTGGCTCCTTCCCGGCCCGTCACATCCACAGTGTAGGCCGTGACCCTTCTGGTCACCGTGATGGTGCGGCTCTGGGTCTCCCCAGGCTCCCCTTCCACTCCGTCCTCCGACTTCAGCCGGGGCTTGATCTTCGTGGCATAGATGCGCTGGTACTCCTCGTCATCCCCGCTCTGCAGAGAGACAGCCCGGCAGAGGTTGCAACAGAGTCTGCCTGAGGTACCGACGCCCGGCCGCAGCCCAGCCTTTTCCCAAAGAAGCCGGGACCAAAACGGGTCCACGGAGCCTCCTGGGGCAGAGCACAGAGGGCTGACGAAAGGGGCTGACAACCACATCAGAGGAGGAAAGCAAATGACGTGGGGCAACTCCGGAAAGCAAAAGCCATGGGGTGACGAGGGTGTAGACGGCTGGACAGCACGGTCTGGGAGAAGGATTTGCAATCAATTCTAGACTCAAGTCGGCCAGTCAAGTACCCAGGATGCCTCTGAGCGGCCAGCTCTGCACTGACTTGACCCTAAGGCTCTCAACTCTCAACTCCCCGGTGTGTTTGTTTAAGCAGGAGGGGGACCCTCCCAAGGATCCCCGAAAGCTGGGTGGAGAGTGGCTGTGCTTGGGCGAACCCCCCCTGTGAGCACCCATTCTTTGTTGCATAAACAAGTCGTCAGAAGGAGCAGGGAATCGTCCCACAGGCACTTTGCAGCCCAGCTTCCGACTCACAGGCGAGTCCAGGCCTCCGGAAGCAGAAAAATGCTCTGTGAGCGCGAGGGCCGGTGCGGCTCAGTCGGTTGAGCATCATCCCGTGCACCGAGATGTCGCCGGTTGGATTCCTGGTCAGGCTGCCTGGGTTGCAGCTCAATCCCCAGTAGGAGGCGTGCAGGAGGCAGCCGACTGATGTTTCTCTCTCTCTCCATCTCCCTTCCTCTCTCTCTAAAATCAATAAAACACATATTTTAAAAAGAAAAGAAAAGAAAAATGTTCTGTGAGGCAGAACTGGGCACCTGTGAAATCATTCCCAAGATTCCGGCAAAGCACCCGGGGCCCAGCAGCATGCGTGGCTCCCGGCTGCGGCGCTCTGAAGAGACTGACTCTGAGGGGCAGCACCAGCCACGTGCCACACGGAACAACCAGGAACAACCAGGCTGACTCAACAGAGTGCAGAGGGTGAGCTCAGGAGAAGGAATGGCAAGAGAGGCCCGCAGGCAGACAGAAGCCTCGGGAAGGGGGACCGGCGGGCGGCGTGGCCGGGAGCTCAGGGCGCGGACGGGCCGGCGAGGCACTCACCAGAACCACTTCAGAGGTGCGGGAGCTGAAGACTTCGTGCGTCCAGGTCTGGCCCGGCTCGGGGGAGCGGTCCCCCTTCCGGTGCAGCTTCAGACCCACCGTGTGGTGCCCCATGGTACTCAGCAGCTGCGTCACCTCGCCCGACTGCAGGTTGTCAAAGTAGATGGTGGCACCCACAATCTGGTCCCCTGAGCCGGGAGGAACAAGAAGCGGGTCTCAGAAAGCAACACACGCACACACACACACACACACACATCGAATGCATGTCATGCAAGGCGGCTGTGGTAGTGCCCACTGTACAGATGAGAAAACTGAGGCTTAGACAGCTCAACTGATTTGCCCAAAGTGGCCAGAGCTTGTGAGTGGTGGAGTTGGAACTGAGGACGGTGTCCCCGCCCCTCCTCACAGGACCTCCTCCCCCAAGGACTGGGGGCGGGTGACGGACACAGGGTGGGCAAGAGAAGGTAGGGCTTGGGTGCTGACCATCCTGCTGGCACTGGGACCAGGCCCTCCACAGCCACGTGCCCACTTCTGCTTGCCCCCTGCCCTTCCCTCCACCACCCACACCCACCCCAACCCAGCACCCAGCCCACACCCCGAGGGGACTCACCCTCCTTGACCACCCCCGTGCGGGCCGCAGGGGAGTTCTGCACGACCTCCTGCACGAAGACGCCATCGTCCCTCTGGGCAATGGTCAGCCCGTGGGAGCCGCTGCCCTGCCAGTTGGGCAGCAGCAGCTCCCGCGTTGTCTCCTCCTCCTTCTCCATCTGAGATGAGGGAAGGGAATGAGCTCAAGCGATGAGGGGTGAGAAGGCGGGGGTCTTGGGTGGGTGAGCTCCCGGGGAGTCAAGCACCGTCTGCCGCGGCGGAGATGCTCAAGGAGCAGCAGAGCGGACGGGCAGTGGATGCCACCGGCCGGGAGGGCCCAGCCCCACCGCGCCCACCAAGCCCTGCCACCCCGGGGGTCTTCACCCTCGCCACCCCGCACCGCCACCTCTCTCAGCACCCTCCCCCCTGCTGACCTTTTGCAGGACTCGTCCAGGAGCGAATGCCTTGCCAGGAGCCCGCCCCTCCTTCCGGTCCTCTCCTCGGTCCTCTCCTCAGTCTCTCGCGGAGTCTCAGTCACACAGCCTAGGGAGAAGTCCACAGTGAGGCGTGCGCTCCAACCGCTGGCTCGAACCCCGACCCGCGGCCACGCCAGCGACGGCGGGGTGTTCTGTTCCCCAGGCCGGACCCTCGCTGCTGCCATCCATTCCCTGCAGACGTGACTCAGCCTGGAAGCCCGGAGAGGGGCTCGGAGGCCAGACTCAGTCAGATCGGGCTCTGCACCCTCCCAGCTGGCGGCCCTGGCCAACCCCCTGCGCTTCTCTGACGCTCCGTTTCCTGATCTGTGAGATGGAGATGACAAAGGCGTCGTGAGGAGGAAGGAGAGAGAGGGCGTGCAGAGCTCTGCGCACAGGAGCCTCAGGACGACGCCAGCTTCAGGAGGGAGACGCCGCCGGCCCCAACGGACAGATGGGAAGACCGACAGTCACAGGCCGATTGGCCCAGGTCCACAGTGAGGAGGCGAGTCTGCTGGGCTCGGACCCGAAGCTGTGCCTCCTTCCCCGGCACCCTCTCCTACTGGGCACCCTGTCCTATCGGCCCCCTGTCCTCCCCAGCACCCTCTCTTACAGGGCACCCTGTCCTCCCTGGCACCCTGTCCTCCCTGGCACCCTGTCCTACCCGCACCCTGTCCTACCCGCACCCTGTCCTCCCGGCACCCTGTCCTACCGGCACCCTGTCCTCCCGGCACCCTGTCCTACCAGGGCTGCAGCTCTAACCAGTGAGACTCCTCAGAGCAGACACTCCTGTGGTCTCAGCGCCGGTGGCACCGGCCGGCCTGGGAGCAGGGTGGGGGGGACAGTGACTCTGGGTCGCCCTGTCCAACTCAGTCCTCAGGACCAGGGACCCTCGCCGGCTGGGAGCCGAGCCCTGTCACAGGCAGCAGCTGGACAAAGGAAGCCCAGCCCCCAGGCACGGGCCCGTGCCCCAGAGGCTGGAGTCCAGCTGAGCGGCCTCAGGGACCTGGTGAGTCAGGGCCCATCTGCTGCCCACGCCCGGCGGAGCCAGGCCCCAGGTGCTGGCGCCCGGAGCGCAGACGCCCTGCGGCCCCACGAGGAGCTGGCAGCAGCAGAGGTGCCCCGAGAAGTGCCCTGGACGCGGCCAAAGCCTACAGCCACCCACACAAAATGGTGGCGCCCGCGTCACCGGCAGCAGGTCCGTGAAACTGGGGGGCGGGGGGGGGCTGTAAGTCACAGAGCACCTGGCCCGGCACCCCGCCCGCCCACAGCTGTGCACATGCAGGAATGAGTCACCGATCGATAAAGGTGAGCCAGCTGCCCGAGCCCACAGGCGCAGTGCATAGCGCGTCCCAGCGGACTGAAGCGTCCCGGGTTCGATTCCGGTCAAGGGCACATGCCCAGGTTGCAGGCTCGATCCCCGGCCCCGGTCAGGGCCCGTGTGGGAGGCAACCAATAGATGTATCTCTCTCACATCGATGTTTCTCTCTCTCTCCCTCCCTTCCTCTCTCTCTCCCTCCCTTCCACTCTCTCTAAAAATCCCTGGGAAAACATCCTCGGGCGAGGATTAACAGAAATAAAAGATCCAGGTGCACATGCTGATCGCCTCCTGTACGCCCCACAGTGATGGTCACCCCACTCCACTCTTGATCCTCCAAACACAGCGGTTCTCAACCTGTGGGTCGCGACCCTTTGGGGATCGAAAAGACCCTTTCACAGGGGTCGCCTAAGACCATCGGAAAACACATATAATAATTACATATTGTTTTTGTGATTAACCACTGTGCTTTAATTATGTTCAATTTGTAACAATGAAATTGGGGGTCCCCACAACATGAGGAACTGTATTAAAGGGTCGCGGCATTAGGACGGCTGAGAACCACTGCTCTACCAGTTACTGAATGCACTCCAGGTGCCAGATATGGAGATTTAGAAGACTCAGTTCCTGTCCCGGATATAAATTATGAGCCAGGTAATCTCGGTATGCCCAGTTTAGCCTCGGAATGTTCCAGAAGGCTTGGAGGAATTGGGGGGGGGGGGGGAAATGAAACATAAATGAGGTCTTGAAGGTGTAGAGTTTGCCTCTGAGAAACGGGATTATTCGTGGGCATTCACGGGCACTCAGCAGTTCCAGTGTCGGGCAGATCACAACCCGGGGGGAGGTGGGGGACAACTTCATGGACCCCAAGTGCCCCCACCGCCTGAACTCACACCTGCGGTTTGTGGCTAGGAGCAGAGCCGTGCAGGGGGGCGGACTGTTGGCACGGGTGTGAGTGAGGGCAACACCCCCTCCCTGAGGGCAGCGGAGCGGGGAAGTCACGCCGACCCTTCCCATCGTGAAACAGCAGAGCCGGAGCCTAAACTGTGCCCCCCGCCCCCACCTGAGAAGCCAGGCCTGGACGGACGAGCACCAGGCAGGGTGGGGAGCTGACCGCCCGCCAGGCCTCGGATCCCTGCAGCACCGACCGCCTGGCACCCCAGCTTCTTCCTTGAGCGGGGCCCCGTCTCAGCCTCGCATCCTGGTGCTGAGCCAGCAGCAGGTGAGGGGGGAGAGCCAGCTCACCCTCGCCCACATCTCGGCCCCACCCTCCCTGCTTCCCCGATGAGTCACTGCAGCCACAACAGCTCCAAACATGCTAAGGGTCACACCTAAACGCCAATCGACAATCGACAAAGTGCTTCCGGGGCCAGACCCCGCAGCCAGAGGGGCTGGGGCTCCAACGGACAGGACACGGGCAGTGGGCTTCCCTGCCAGCTCCTCAGACGCAGCCCCAAGCCGGATGCAGCCCCAAGCCGGACGGAGCCCCAAACCGGACGCAGCCCCAAGCCAGTTGGAGCCCTGGCAGCACAGCCGGGAGGCTCATGAGGGACTGCGCCATGCCTGGGCCCGGCTGCCGACGAAGAGGGGAAAGGCCAGCCGGGTAGAGAAGGGTCCGCCGGCCGTGAGAACGGAGGCCTCCGGTTGGCCTTGGCAGAGCCCCCGCGGGCCTGCCAGCCAGGTGGAGCTGCCAACCACCCTGCGGCTCTGGCCCGGCCGCCTCCTGGCACAGCGGGAAGGACTCCCGGCCACCTGATGCGGGCCAGGCAGCCGGCTGGGCATGGGGGTGCTGGCAGGGGCCTGGAGGCCCCCGGGGCCAGGGCCTGTTCTCTGCATTTGGCCCCAGCCCTCGTGTCCCCCACCCCTGGAGCCTGTCCCAAGCGAGCTGGTCCTTCCTCCTCCCACACAGGTCAGGGGAGCCAGGCACCCAGCAGGCCTGTGGCGCCATGGGCCATTCTGTACATTCAGCCAAGGGTCACAGCCCTTGGAGCTGTGCTGGCCAGCGCGGTAGCCACATGGGGTCCTTTACATTTAAATGAGCTGGAATTCAATTTAAAATTTAGTTCACTGGCCCTGGCCGTGGGGGGGGGGGGGGTCGCAGGAGCGGGGGGGCTCAGTAGGTTGGAGCTCTGTCCGGTGCACCAAAGGGTTTCGGGTCCAATTCCCGTTCAGGGCCCTTACGAGGCTGTGGGTTCGATCCCCGGTTGGGGTGCGTAGGGGAAGCAACCGATCGACGTTTCTCTCTCTCTACCTGGCTTCCTGTCTCTAAAAATTCAATAAAAACATATCCTTGGCCCTA